CTTTGTGCGGCACCGGCACTCGCGGCTCTCTGCCCGCGCCACCGGGGGAGCACCGCTCCACCTGCGGCCGCCTCCCATGCAGAAACCCTTCCAGACCTTCTCAGCCGCGGTTCAGCCGTGCCTCGAGGCAGTGCGGGTTCCTTCCAGACACGCCTGAGGAAATGGAGGCGGCGGTGCCGGGAGGCGCGGCCGGAGCCGCTCGGCTGCCCCGCTCTGCGTCCCTCGGAGCCGGCTGTCTCTGCGGAGAGCTGCTCTGTGCCTCTGCGGAGAGCTGCGGGGCCTGCTATTGTAACAAAACAAGGCAGAAACTCTCCAAGAGTGCCGGTGACTCCTTTTAATGTCACCCTTTCTTCCTTTGCTCATAACTAAACAGCTCTCCGCTAATTACCTGGGCAGTCATGAATGGTCCCGATGCTCTCAGCCTCCAGGCGTTCCCAAGAAATAGCTTTCTCCTGACCCTCCTGGGCTTAGGTACCTTCTTTCTCGTTTTCAACAAAATATTCCCGTGGTGTGCAGTGTGACAACTCAGGTGACAAGGACTGAAATAATCTGCTTTGTGCTAATTTGGCTGGAAGGATTAAACTACATCTTACTTTGTCATGACAAGGAATGCCTAAGAAAATAAGTGCTTTCTATTGTCCATTATTGCAGGTGTCCAAGATACTAACAGTGTACAGGCTGGACAGTCAAAACTGCCCTTTTCCCCATCAAATCATTTTAATGGGGAAAAAAATAGATTTGCCTTTCAAAGTAAAAATGATTTTCCCTTGTCCTGACTTCTGCTGGTAGAGTTTGCATCAGTAGATGTTGCTGAGGTGCTGGGATGGCTGAGGGGATCAGCAAGGAGCACCTGTAGGGCTGGAACAGGTTTTCTGTCAGATCCCTGCGCCCTGGTGCACAGGGAGGATGCTCTTTCACAGACTAAAGCAAGAGAAATGTTCACTTATGCCTTTAGAGTATCTATAATTGTGTAAAAATATTTGTTTCAGACTTGTAGCATTATGACTCTTATTCTTCTCCCACTAGGGCCAAAGTTCAGTGCCTAGTGAGATGGGTCATTATTCATTTTAGTTATCCATCTCTTTTGGTGCGTAAGAAAAATTGTGCTGACAAAATGCTACAGGACCTTCTTCTGAACCAGTTCTGTCCTTTCTGCACTTGCAGAAGAGCTTGCAAGAGGAATGAGTCTAGTCCCATTTTGACCATAGCACCTTATCTTTTGTCTTTGAATAGTATATGTTGGACAAAGAGGATACAAAGGGAATTTTTCACAAAATCTTTCAATAAATTCATATATTAAAATGTATTCCTTCCTCAGTCATTTTACTGTCGTCATTCCACGTGCCACATGTAATTTGTAGGGTGAGATCTCTTGGAACAGTGACTCATCTTTTCCTTATAAAGCACCATGCATGCAGAACTGTTTTAATAAAGGAATAATGATGGGATCTGCTCATCTCTTAGAGACTGGGGAGGAGGTAACTGATTCTGTGTCAGATGCCAATAAGGTTGCAGTATAGCTCATGTTGCATCTTGGATAGAGCTGGGGCTGATAATGCAAGGACTGTAAGGTAGGGAGGCCCATGGATGAGGACTCAAAGCAATTGGGTCTTACAATAGAAATCAAGGGTCAGAACCCCAGAGAAGATGCACCATCAGTGCAAGCAGTTTGCATTATGTTCATCTGAGATTCTCAATATGACTGGCAAGCAGTCATGGCCTAAAACATGGTAGATCTCATGAGATAATGGAATAATTCTATTCCACTCAATAAGGAGACCACATAAAACAGTTATCTGTCAAATAAATTAATTTCACTTCTGAATGTGGAAATGAATTTCTTTGCTACTGACAGACAATTCTACATAAATAGCTAACCTTGGATAAAATGCGGTAAGTTTGCAATTCTTATTTCCTGAACCTTCTGCTGATTATCTGAGGCATGGAATTATAAATTTAATGAGAAGGGTGTGGGAAAGACACAGTCTGGTGCTTCTCAACAATAAAACAGAGTTTGAATACTAACTGTAAGCTGCTTAAACCACAGTCTCTGCCTACTCTTACATATACACTACTACAGTATGGTGCTATTGGCACAGTATGTCAGTCCTTAATGTTTGAAGCAATAAATACAGAGTGCTTTTAAATAATTGATATGAACAGATTCCAGACAAACTAGTTCACACATTTTCATTTTTGAGCAATGTAATCCTTAGCAGATGTTCATAATTAGGGATATAGGTATTTTAAAAATACAGTAAAATACTTATATTCATTCTCAGATCTATCATATTAACGTAATTATCTTATTTAGTTTAGTGTGATCCTGAAAAAACTTCATTGTTTCTTTAGCTAATATCAGATATTTATAGCTTAAGCAAAATAGAAAATGACAGAAGAGTGGACAAGCTGTTTATATTGACTAAAGAAATAATTATCAGATTATTCATGGCACTGTAAAGAGTAAGAAGGATAAGCCCAGCCGTTGTAATGTGATCAGCTAATGTTAGTTAAGCGCTGCAGAGACAGAAAGAACTCTGCAAAGGTTAAGCATTATTATTATCACTGTTAATTCAAAGTGATGGAAGGCACAGTGAAACCTCTTACCATGTGCTGTGTAAAGCTTGCAGAAACCAAAATTTATAACTGAGGGATGGGATAAAGAGCATTACCAGCTGCTGAGATCTTTCTCTTTGTTCCTTGCTGAGGTTTGAGTAGCTGGTCACCTGAAAAGATACCTCATAGACAGTGACAAAGACACAGAATCCATCACTGCAGGAGGGGCTGATGTGGGTCAAACTGCATGCCTGCCTGACTCCTCCAGCTTCCCCATGGGCTGTCAAGTGCCCTACAAGCAGCAGCAACCCTGATGGCTGCAGGTTACCACTCACAGCACTCCTTGGTCCTGGTAGGCTTTTGGACATAATCCATACAGGCATAACCATCCTGGAAACATTAATTTTCTTTGGCTGCAGCCTTGTATTTCTGAGCAATTTTGCATTTATGTCATAGATTGTTGCCTTAGGCAAAATTTCTTCTGTTTTGCATAAAACAAAGGTGCTTCCATAGCATGTTTGTTCTACCAATCTTTTTCTTTTTTTTTTTTTATGTAGAACTAGTTGAAAATAAGCATTTTTTTAATCCTAAAAGAAATTCTGGTGTTCTAAAAGTAATATTGTTCCACCTTGGAAACTGAAAAAGCCAAAGACTCTTGATACACATGAGTGCTAATTAATCACTTCACATTATTGATATATTTTTCTGTTACATTTAAAAATGTAATTGAGATAAAATTATTTGACACAATGACTGTAGGAAGAATGTATACTTTGTTAGAAATTAATTCTGTCAAGTATTTAATCTAGTTTTTCCATGCTAAGTGTCTCTCTTATGAACAGCATGGACAGAGGTCCAGTCTTTCAGAAAAATCAAGTAAGAAATTAATGCTGATTAATGAAGACAGTTAGGAATCAGAGATGATCCTAAAAGATGAGTGCAAGTTCAGATGAAAATGCTTCTTGACCAGTTTCTATTCAACTGGAAAACTTCTATATTTTAATGTTTCTGAGATGTATTTTCAAAGAGCCTGAAGGTGCCTGGTCCAGCTGGGATTTGAGACTACATTTGCTCTTCAGACTTATTGCAGTGTCTGTGCTAAAGCGGGCATTTATGGTGCTTTGCATTTTCATTAACCAGAGAAATTTGCCATCCCAAAGTATTATGAATCTGACATACTGTGGAGGAGAAGCAAAGAGATGAGGTCACAGAGGGAGGAGAAAGCAATAAAAAGAGGACTGTTGGAAATCTGATTTACCATGTGATATTTGGAGCCTGTTCCAGCTATTGGTGAATCTTACCACTGAGACCTTTCAGACCTTTTGGTTCACTGAGAGCTGACATTCAGAATAACAGTATTATAATGGCTCTTAAAATATCTCTGAGAGAAAATCTGAAGTGATTCAGAGGATGATTCACTTATATTGATAGCAAAACACTAGCAGTAGCTAAACATGACAGATGCAATGTGTACAGGGACAGCCAAGACAAGTTTAAATTGGAGTTTTGAGCATACATTTGTGATTTAGTCATCTAAATAATAGGATAACAGGATACGAGCTGTGAGAAACCAGATTTAAATAAAGGGCATTGCATTATCTCCACTGTGCATATTCCCAAAGGTACAAGATGTTTGTCCTCTTAAAATTAACTGCTGTCAGTTTTGGGGTGTGATTCAGACTAATATTTAAAAGATTATTCAGATTAATATTTAAAAGATTATCTGTGTCATTGTTTTCAGCTAATTTGTTTTATGAGGAAATGAATTTAACTCAAGCTTCCTCTGTGTTACAGAATTTGGCACATACTTCTGCTGATTCATCACCTGCAATAACGAAATTGAGCTGCAAGAGCACCACAGGTCAAGGAGTCTGTACGAGCACTGCATGTCCTCCCGTTTTGCACTTTTGTTGGTAAAAGCCCATGTAGGTCTTCTGTCATCTTTTGATGCAATGCACTACAGGATGTGAAGTAATATATCACAAGGAAAGCAGGTCACACCACAGGCACAGTGGGTAGAGTATTCAGTTTTTCTATGTGGCACAAATGAGGAATTTGGAACATAAAACATGGGGGAAATTGTGAAAAATGGACAATCTCCTTCCCAGGGTGTCATTCTGACACATTCCGTTCTCTTTTTGTCATATCTCTGTGTTGAAGTATCCCCAGTCTGTGTCAACGGACATGCCACTAGCTTGGATTTCAAAGAGCTGCCCAGTGAAAGAATATCCATCCTGGTGGTGAACCATGCCGTCAGTTTTTAGTTATGCCCTGGCGTACTGAAGTAATGAAACTTACAGAGGAGGAATTGCCTGCCAAGGAAGAGAAAGGATTCTACAACAAAGATCTAAGATTTGAAGTCATTTGTGAAACTGTTCATTTACCACGTGAACTTTATTAACTGATGTGGCACTTCTGAAGAAATTTCCATGTATTTGTGGGTTTTGTATTGTCCACCAGCTTTGAAAGCTCAACATTAGACCACAAGTAGAGTTTATTGTGATGTTGGATAATGGTGGAGTGCATTTCCAGTAGAATATCAAAACCACAGTATTCCTGAAGCTTGCAGGGACCTTGGTGTGTTGGGATGCCTGAGTTATGTTTCTTGCATATTTAGATAGAAGTAACCATTTTAGTAAGTCCATTTATTTCTTAATTAGAAATTATTTAGAAGTGTTCAAGAATACCATTAATCTTGAGAGTCTATACAAATAAAACAATTATATGGAATGAAAGAGGCCAGATTGTGTTATTAAAACACAGAATCCAAACTGTTGTTAAGATATGGACAGGCCATTCATTGATCATATGTTGCCTTTTCTTTACAGGAGCATTCATCTATCCCAGGATACAAATAGGTCTCTGCATTATCTCTGCCACTGAAAGCTTTACAAGGCCACCCTAACAGGGAGCAAGAAAAACAATCAGTGGGAGATATGTCTGATATAACTTGTATTTTTTATTAATAAGCTGCTGTTGAAAAAATGATGTGAAGACCGGTCTGCTGACTGGAAGAGGAACTTGCTAATGAACATCTGGCATGGCATGTTAAATAAGCCTGTTTCTTCATTGCAACGTAGAGGGGAGCTTGGGGAGGCACTCAGGACCCTCAGAAGGAAAGACTACATGTATACGAATAAAATGATAAATTCTGATGTTCTTAGACTCTGCAGTTAGAGTAAACAGAATATATAGCAATATATAACATTCTTAAAATAAATATCTTGCTAGAAAACCTCCATGCCCAGAGAGTCTACTGTTTGGTAGAGGTGCCATCCCAGGGATCATAGTACAGCAAGATACAGAGGAGCAAATTCCTGTGTTTGGAACTTCTCTTTAAACTGTTTACTCCACTGGGGAGATACTAGCAAAGAGTACAGAATCCTCTGAAGATTGTTTCCACTGCTATTTCCTCTGTGTAGCTATGGCAGGATGATTTTTTTGACAAAAACTTGTCCTTCTTTGTTGCTCTGTAAGAGTGGGTTAAGTTGTCTCCTCACATGAAGTTTTTCCTGAATCCTTTTCTCTTCTGTGGTCTTTATCTCTCTGTTGCACTGTGCTCTCAGTAAAAGAACCCCTCTGGTACAAAAGACAGCTTGTCTGTTCTTTGGTTTGGGGATTTTCCTACTCTGTGTGTGTATGCCTCCCCAGAGGAAAACAGGTTTTCCATTGGGCATTCTCTTTAGTTCAAGCACTGTTCATCCACCGCTAATGACATTTTTGTTTCTGCTGTAACATTTTCCAAAAGGGTGGAGAGAGGTGTCGGAAAATCATCTGATGGCTAGCCATGTATTGAAATGTTTAATGACACAGCAATTTCATAACAAGGATTGGGATTATTTACATTATCTAACAAACTCCCCAAAACACCGGGCTACACTCTCATTGCCTAGTCCTGGTTTAAAGAGCAGCTCTTCACTCTCTGTTCACCACAATGTTCTTTCATTGTGTAATTTGAAAATTTTACCTATCTTGTTTCAAATAAATATGCTCAAGTGGCATTTCATTGGGAAATATTGAACCAGTATGTCTTGGGTTTGCCATGTTCTTTAGCAGGGGGGCTATAGGAGCAGCTTCTGTTAGAAGATTCCAGAAGTTTCCCATTTCTCCAATGGGGCCAAGACAGACCCGCTGCTGGCCAAAGCTGAGCTCTTCCACTGGAGAGGAAGAGGTGGAGAAATTGAGAATTAATTTGAGCTCAGGAAGAAGGGAAGCACAGAGGAAGATGTTTTAAGATTTATTTCTCATTCTCATTACATTGTTCTGATTTGATTGTTAATAAATTAAGCTAATTTCCCCAAGTTGGGTTTGTTTTGCCCATGATAGTAACTGTGGGATCTCTCCCTGTCCTCATTTTGACTCATGAGCTGCTTTTCTCTTCTCTGTCCAGCTGAGGAAGGGAGTGACACAATTGTTTTGGGGGACACCTGGTATCTAGTCAAGGTCAACACACCAGACTGTAGCACAAAGAATACCAGCAGAATTGCTTCTACTGGCTAACAGATGGCTTCCAGAAGTATGAAAGTTATTTTCTTTCATATGAAACAAGAAATTTCTTGTACAAATTGATTTCCCACAAATGAGGATCTTGATGCTGATACATAAGTCTGATGGGCAATCAGATAAATAAGCATTTTTATTTAGTATAGACACGGTGTTACAGCATTTGAGTAATAATCCTAATGAACAGGCATGTGTACTTTTGCAAGAAAATGTGATAAAAAGTCTCAATTGTCATATTAAGCTAACATAATTCTAAATTATGTAATTAAATCCTGGGTCTTCATCTTCTTTCATCTTCTGTGAAAAAGATATGAGTGGCCCAGGTTAGGAATATGAGCAAAAATACAGAACTTGTGTTTCGGGATTTCTTCCCCACCAATATTGAGTGAATTCCACACTACTCATCAGCTCTCTTTCCATTTCCTTTATGTGAAGAGTGCCTTTACAGCAGCTGGATCCAGCTCTAATCCTCTGAGGTTCTCTGAGCTGGAACCACTGCTGTGCAGCAGTGCACATGCAGTGAGCTGCCAGTGTGGGGTCTGCAGACTCTGAAGCAAAGCATGTGTGTAACTCCTTGTACTGCTTACATACATTATTTGTTTGACTAACCCATAATGCTGAATAAGTTTAATTTAAATGCAGCAGTTTGGTTTAGGGCCTGTGGGTTTCTTTTCCTCCTTGAATGATTTATTATTGAAATCAGTGGTTTACATTCAGTTTAAAAACATGCAGTGGAATAGGTCACAATCTCTTTTCCACATAGCAGTTTTACAGACCTTTTTCACTATATAAGGAAAATAGTCTTAGTGATCAGTTCCAGGAGGAAGGTGGATAAATGTTTTACTTCCAGCCCAATCTCAATTTCTTCTTTGCAAAGTATGATATAAAATAAATAATGAAGGGTAGTAAGTTTTTCCTGTCTCTGGCAGAACAGTCAATGATTAATGCAAAATAATTTTAAATGTTGCTGAGTGTACTGCAACAGTAGACTCAGTACCTCATAATTTTTGGTTGTTTCTAAAACATAAAAACAAACCAGTTTAAAAAAACCCTCATAAAGTCACTTTTAGCATGCTGATAATGGATTCATGCTCTTTAGAGAAATAATCTGTTAAAACTCTAAATTAGTTGAAATTCACAAAGCACATCATGATGTACTTTTTTAGCCTAGAAAGCTGATGAACAGGTAAAATAATTATACATTACACAGAGATTTTATAGAAATGAAGATTAAATATGTAGAAGGCAAGAAATCTGAAGAGCCTTGCTGGTAAGGCAATGGACTAAAATGCTCCACATCTACAATTCTTCATTTTTAAAATATTATATATTGGTTTGCGCCTTTCTGTATTTTTTAATTCCAAAATATCTCCCAAAGGATTCACATTAAAAACCTTTTAAAAGCAGTAATAATAACCCAAAGATTAAGGTTTAGGCAATACAGGAAAAATAATGCAAAGGTGACAGTTAAGATGTTACAGATTCATGTCATCTTCAGGTCATTTTCTCCAGCACTTCAGAGAAGTAAAACAGAAGCCCAAATGCAGTGACAAAAAACAAACAACGGTAAGATGGTCTGTTTGTACTTGCAGATCTGTTCTGCAATAGATCATTTTCAGGTTTAACTTTGCTCCAATAAAATGGGAAATAAGAAAAATAAAGAGGATTCAGCTTTCTGTGCAAAATTACAGCATTGAGGCACTGGCCTGCATGGGTTCACACCTTCCCTTGAGAGCCCCAGTAATCTGCCTCCTGTGACTTATTCTCATTCTCAGGCTTTCAGGAGGAAATACTCCTCCCCTGTCCTCCTGTACTCTGGCCCACAGCTGAGGGTCCCTGCAGTTGTATCAGAGACCCATTAGTAGCAAGACACTCATTTTTTGATGGATACAAATAGTTTTTAAAAGTTCATTGTTTCCTTGTGGGGACTGAAATATCCCAGGGAACAGATTATACACTGTTTGTTATAAAGCTTTTAAGGAAAACAGAGGAAGTCTTGAAAGGCTCTAATTGCAAAAATTCAAACAATTTTACTGGAATTCAAGTAGCAAAATCTCTGTGCTTTGCTTTGAAATTGTACTGGAATTACAGATATATTCTCATCTATGGTAGACATGAATCTATGTTAAATCTTACTACACTTCTTTATTTTTTAGTGTATTATTTCCCTCATTTGTATGATGGCAACTTAAGCAAAGAGTTTTCATCGGCTGTGTATCAGTTGGCTCTGTAAATACAATTTGCTTTGAGATGCTAAGATGGACTCACACTGCACAGTCAGCATCATGGTTAGGAAGGTTACTCTTGTGTGCTTATTGCCTGTGTGAAAACCTGACTGCCAAGGAATTCTGCTGGGAGAAGCCATTACTGTGCTCAGAAAAATGATCAAGACTTGTAAGAGCTCTGAAAGCTGATGAAAACATGGCTTTATAATCAGTTGTCTCTTAAACTGTGGGTGGCAGCAGTGTCCAGGCAGAGGGACTTTTTGGAAGCCTCCCCCAGGGCTTTGACCTCCACCGAGTGTTTCAGGAAGAGGCAGCATTAATTGCTGCCTCAAGACCGTGAGGCTGAGCTCACAATAGGCAAACACATTACTTTGTAAATGAAGGATTAAGTCAGAAAACCTTGCTAATAACCTACTTCAGAAACTCCATAATCACTGTGGTGTGATGGTGAGTAATTTGCAGTGTTTGTAAGCATGGCTTCAGTGGCCCTAATTGACTCAGTTTCCTACTCTGGATAGCTGTGCTGATACTTGGAATCGTTCTGTAAGATGATCTTTAAGTACTGCTCCATGTGTCATGGCACATGCAGCATTCCTGACTTCCACTTCTAGCTTTCCTCATTTGGACGATTTATGGGCTTGTGTAAATCAGTCTCAAATGTAAGTGGGAGTCTGTCCTTTGCTGATTCACACTCCCTCCATTGTAAGCAAAGTTATGCCCTCGGACAGTCTCCATTATTCACAGGCTTTGCCTGCCTTGAATTTGAATATGAAGGGAAGAGTGTGGTTTTGCAGGGATTTCTAGCACCAGCCAATACTTTTATATTTTGTCTGCCTGAAAAGCAAGCTGAATATTTTATGAATAAGCAGGTGTACAAAGCGCAGCTTCTGGAGCAGAATCAGCATTCCCACTTGTCCTCCTGGTAAATAATTGCAGAACAACTGGGGAAAGTTGAAATGAGATGGAAGTGAAGATGTCCCTGATTCACCCACTCCAATACAACATATGCAAAAACACTTGAAGGTCACCTTTAAAGATTCAAGCTCTGTTTAACTGTGCTTTCACATGCTGGTTTCTAATAATTATTAAAACACATTGACAGTGACATTTTTGCAAGGGCACTATGAAAGGACAAGGCAGTATATGAAACAAGTATTTTATAGTGAACACCAAATTCCTGCACTTGTAATGAACACTGCATGCAATGAACGATCCACAGAGTACTCTACGCTCTCTAGATATAAAATGCAAATAGATATTTTAAAAATGTTTGAGGTTTTCAAGCTCATTGAGGGGATTTCCCTCATTAGCTTTGGAAATCTCAACCACTGTGTTTGAAACATGTAGCTTAATCCAAAGTCATGCTTCATAACATTTCTCCTCAGACTCAGTGGAGCTGGCTTTGACACAGGAGGATAAGATGGTTTAGTCATGGTTTTTCATTGAATCAACTCCTCTCTCATACTGGAACCTTGACCTTTTACTTCTAAGACTTGCTGAAATCACCAGACCTTCTCAGAAGAGCACAAGAATGAATAATAGAGTAGAATCAGCTTAACGAACTTGAGTAACAGGAACAGTTTGCAAAACACTGTTACCTAAAAATGAGAAACCTAATGTCAACTGCAAACTAGGTTGTGAAAGTTTCTTTCTTCCTCTGCTGGAAGCAATTAAAGTGAGCAGGACAGGGAAAAGGAACAGTCTAAACTGGACTTACTGCTCCTCATGTATGGAGGGTTGGGAGTTTTCAGAAATGTGCCATATGAATCATTCTCTTCTCACTAAGAGTTCAATGTAAAATGCCCATTGACAGCAGTGGGAACAGTGTGAAATTCTACACTACAATTTATTGATATGATCT